TTTTTTTTTTTTTTTGTTTGAAATAAAGCTTATCAGAATTAGTATCACGTTCAAATGGCTTTTTACGGTTGGCACGCCAAAGTAGAAGCGAATGCTACTTGCTGTCAAGGTTTTAGAAGGCTTCCTGTATTAATAGAACCCAAAAAACCTATGCCACTATCCCATTAAAAACAGGAAAGTTTTTTCTTTGACTGTTGCAATTGAGATTAAAATCTATCAAACACACGATAGTGAAATACAGGCAGCCTGTTATAAGTCTGCAGTGGTAAGTTAAAAAGCATTTTTTTTTTTGTGAGAAATGTTACTTCCCGAAACAAAGCTTCAGCGATTTGAACATGCTGGATGTTCATCCCTGTTCGAATCAGCTTTAGAATTGAGTCTTTCAGATGGTGATAACTTTGATATACATATATGGGCCATTCCCTGCCGAATTGCACACTTTTTTCCCTTCATGTCTCAGATTTTTCCTAAATTTTTCCGGTTATTGGAGTTTGAGGTAGTATACAGAAAGGCAAAAAGAAACTTGAAAAAGTGAACTGCCCGCCAAGTTAAACCACCTTAAAGTTGCAAAATTTGCTAGTTTGCCGCTTAACATGCCTTCCTTCGCAGACTTGTAATTTAGCTCGCTTTTAATAGAATTGAATGATTTTTTGTTTTACAGGTTTCTTTCAAGTTTCTTATGTCCTGAGCTTCTAAAAGTATATTAAATAATTTGATTCTACTAAAAAATCACATAGATACAATAAAAACGAGATTTCAAACGAACATTGAGGAAGAAACGAGTTTATAAATATTTTTAAAAAGGCACAGTTTTTGTAGAATTCCTTGCTCTACAATATTTCAAGTTTTGATGATGGTGATCCTCAGGTGTCAAAAGCTACGAGCCCGATTGGAATGTAAAACTGAAAAAAACCACTGTTTTGTAGTAATTCGATATATTTTACAGCGATAAAATTGCAGGCACAAAAATCCAGTACGCCTTGAACGTTAAAAATTTGTATGTACTTTGCTTTAATAATATTGACAAATTATATTTTACTACTCGTATGTCGTGGTTTCCGAGCTCTTAGAATTGTCTCTACCTTGTATTCGTTAAAGTTTTGGTTACACAAGCAAACAGATGCTTGACTTTCTGTTCTTCTTTGAAACTGTGCGCTGTAGTTCTGCAGAGACATAGAAAGTTTTAAGAAAAACCTTAGTCCAACAGCTAACCAGGCAAACCAGTAAGTTCTTAGACTTCTTTGTGATGCCACAAGTCATACTAGCCACATAATTTTGACAGGATAAAACACGAGAAGTAGAAAACGCTGCAGTGAAGGCTACCTCTTACAGCTCTGCAGAATGATAATTTGTCAATATTATTGAAGCAAAGTACAATTTTTTAAATAAATTTTCAACATTGGAAGCGTACCGGATTCTTGTAGTCGCCCGCTCTGACCGTCAGAAGCGGCTCCGGACGATTTCGCCACTGTAAAATATGTAGAATTACTATGAAACAGTGGTTTTTTTCAGTTTTACATTCCATTTTGGCTTGTAGCTTCCGGTACCAAAGAACCGCCATCACCAAAATTTGATACGTTGTAGAGCAAAGAATCCTGAGCAAGATATGCCTCTTTAAAAAAATTTAAAAACGCGTATTTTTCTTAATGTTCGTTTGAAATCTTATTTTTATTGTACATATATGATTTTTCAATAGAATTCAAATTCGAGTAATAAATATGCGTTTAAAAGCCCAGAAGATAAAAAATCTAAACCTAATAAGCGGAAATCGTCAAATTCTATTAAGAACAAGCTAAATTACAAGTCTGCAAAAGTAGACCTATTAAGCGGAAACATGACAAATTTTTCAACTTTGAAGAGGTTTAACTTGGCGAGAAATTCACTTTTCCAGCTTTTTTTTTTTTTTTTGGTTTTCTGTATACTACCTCAGACTCTAATAACCGGCAAAATTTAAGAAGTCTGAGATATGAAGGGAAAAAAGTGTGCGATAGAATGGCCCGTATGTATTTATAACACGTTGACCTTTGAAGTGATACGTTAGGTGAAACTGTTGTGGGACTGGTGGCAACGCTTTTTTATTTTTTGTATTTTAGCTATTATTTTTATCTCGCTTGAAAATGAATTGAAGCTTAGTGGATATTATAAGCTGTAAAAAAATTATTCTTTTATCTATTTCCAAAGCTTACTGTTTTATCTGTAAGCTCTTCTTTTTTTTTGTTTTTTTTTTGAAGTACTGTAATAGTTTTGTTGATTAAGGTTGCCACCACCAAAATTAATTTAGACAGTTGAGTAGGTGCTATTTGTTTTTGATGTGTGCAAATGAAGTTCTTTTTTTAAAGCTATTTATTTAAAAAGTAGGGTTGTCAATCTGGTTTAGTCACTGAACTGTTATACTCATTTAGGATTTCGGTCATTTGAAAAGAAAGTTCTTTCTGTTTCCAATTTTCTAGTATTTTCTTTGCACTTTGTAGTAGGCCGGTCCAAATATTTCGTTCGATAAATTCATAATTTTTTTAGAACTATTAGGTGAACTGAGGGTTCAGGAGTAAATAGGTAAACTGCAAAGACATTAGTTAGATGCGATGTGATGTATGGCGGAGAAAGCTTAGTTGCGGTCATCTGCGTCATCCTGTCATGTAGAGATACTGATGAACGTATGTACACTACAGGCGGTAAAAGCGTAATGGAAAAACTTGCTTGGGAAGGTTAAAGTCAAGGTCGTTAGGTACGACGTTTTACAGCATTTTTGTGGTTTGCATCATACAGTAAACAAAAGCGTCGCTAAAGAACGGTGAAATCTTTGTACTTCTTAACCTTTGGTTTGCTTTACACTAACTACTGCCGTTTACGTCATTTTGCCTAATACTTCTAGTTGGTACAAATACCTGTATCCTGATGAAGAAATTAGTGTTTTAATGTAATATTTAACGTGATCATATTTGAGGCTGAAAAGTGAACTTCATGCTACACTGAGATTTTTGAATTTCGTTTTGATATAGTCTACCAACTCATGTTTCAACTAAGAGTGGACACTGTAATATGGTTTTTTTGAAAATCGACTCAAACTTTTGCTTATTCACTTAAGTTACGTCTGTCAGTAGTACATAATGCTTTAATTGCTCTAATGCTTTAAAACATAATTTCAGTAGTACATAATGCATTCACAATTCGTATAAGAGGTCAAGGTTCTCATCGTAGTTTTTAAGACGAGACAATGCAAATTATTTTCTTAAAGTTACCACCTATAACACAAATTCTCCTGTGACAAAATTAGTATTGGTCGTAATGTCTGGTTGGTACTGCTTTCAAAAGGTAGGTTACGGGAAGAACTTCAAGACGAAATTAGTTTCAATTTTTTGAGTGTTTTTCTTTTTCATGTTGAAAGCTACAAAAAGTGGCTAGTTCTTCTTTCATTTATTTGAAATTAGCTTTTCTATATTAAATGAAGAATTTACTTTTAAACCAGATAAGCCAACGTTCAAAAATCTAGAATTAATTCAATTACAGGTTAATAACAATTTCATTGCTATTTAATTTAGTCATTATCGATCAGTTTGCGCATGCGCA